TGAGGCTTGAGAGAAGCTCAATCTTTTTCAGTTTCTCTGCACTAAGCCATGGGACAGTCGCATGGGTGAGGAGCATCCATGGCAAGGGGCAATTCATCAGGCTACTACAACTATATGGTCCTGCTCCTTTGCTGGCTGGAACATGGATTAAAACTGGAGAGCAGGTAGGATGCTGGTTCCATCAGAGGGGCTTTCCGAAAGTGCTCACCCCCAAAGCTCAATCTTTTTCAGTTTCTCTGCACTAAGCCATGGGACAGTCGCATGGGTGAGGAGCATCCATGGCAAGGGGCAATTCATCAGGCTACTACAACTATATGGTCCTGCTCCTTTGCTGGCTGGAACATGGATTAAAACTGGAGAGCAGGTAGGATGCTGGTTCCATCAGAGGGGCTTTCCGAAAGTGCTCACCCCCACAAAAGGCATTTCACTGGGCTTGGTTTGGAAATGACACAGAGCAGTCATTCTCTTTAAAGGCATCTTCAGATAGCTCCTTCCTCTCTGCCTTTCCAGAGTCACTGTCCCCTGCTTGTACCTTCATACTCTGTTCTGAGCTCCCTCTCCAATAGGTGCAATTTCACTCCCTGCACCAGGTCCCCCAGGACAAGCAGAGCTATGTTGCCTCAGGCTCAAAGGGCTGCACATGCTGCTGCCTGAGGGACAGAGATGATGGCCGAGCACCTCTAGTTAATGGGCTTAAGTGCTAATTAACTACTGAACATGGATATAATAGGGATAGCCCAGACCTGGCTTTTGCAGGCATTCAGCCTTGTTAATCAGAGGCCTCCTGAGTGTAGCCAGCTACAGCAGCAGCCAGTGGCTTTTGGAAAAAAAACACCCCCCAAACCCAGTGTGAGCTGAGCACACTGCTTTGCAGCCTGACCCACAGTGCTTCTCCATCAGGCAGCCCCTTTCAAAGTCCATGGTGTAAAAAGTCCAGTCCTGGACTTTGTTAATGCAGCTCTTCTTCAGAGCTGATCTTGCATAGCAGGCAATTGCACAGTCTGCATTCATCATCCCTCCTTGGGAGAAGGTGGGAGACCCAAGTGTCTGTAGCTGGACCAGAACAGGAAGGACTGGGAGAGGAATCGTGACCCAAGAGCAACTGTGGCAGGTCCTGGATCCATCCTGGGGAGACCCTCACACCCTCTCAGCTCTGCTGTGCAGCTCTGTAGCTGCTCTTGTGCTACTGAAGTGGCTGGAACGTAGGCAGATCCAGCAGAAGATGGAGGAGGCGAGGAGGACACGGGATCTGGCCCTGGAGCACATGGAGAAGGCAGCTCGCAGGTTTAAGCAAGAGGTACTTTGGGAAAAAGTATGTGTGGGAGGAAAGGGATTGTATTTTGGGTAATCAAAGAAAAGGAATGCTGATTGAGCCCTCTTTGAGTCGGGGTTAGGGCATGTGCACATTTTGGGTCATCACAATTTGTTTGGAGGTTCACCACCCTCCATTGTCACAAAACACCTATAAAGACAGCATAAAGGAAGTATTTCTTAATACAGACCTATTGGGGGAACCCTGAGGATAAAAGATGGATTTTGGGACCCTTTGAATCTGATCACGCCCCCAGACCTCCCTGTGCCCTTTTCTCTTCATCCATCCCTACTGCTAAGCCTTTCCTCTCCCATCCTCCCTACCTTTGCCCTTCCATAGGGATTATCTGCCCCATGATCCTCGAAGTAATGGGGGGGGGGGCAGAGCTTCACATCCCTCCAGCATCTGCACACTGGTAACAAAAAACCATTCCCTCCTGCCCATGCCTGGGTAAAGAAGCACCTGGATTTTAGGAGGCCAGATCCTTGGTATTTGTCTTAAACCCATAATAAATGCCTATAGCTATTCTTGTCTTGGGGAGGGGAGGTTGAAAACAGCCCACAAGCTTTTTTCCCCCCATGTTAATCATAAATTTTGTAAAACTTTAGCTGGTTGAACTGCTATTCACCACACAAGGGGGGTGAGTAAACACAGATAGGTCAAACCTCCACTATAGGTTCATGCAACTCTCCAGTCAAGCAGCAGTTTTCTGCCTATTTTGCTTCTGTTCTTATGAAGACAGCAAATTCCCATCTGCACATTTCCCACTCCAGCACACAGAGTGCTGTGTGGGACCTCTGCATTTCTACAGGAAATGTCTCCTGAAATTCCTATTCAAGGTCATTGCTGGGCACATGTTAGAATTGGGTATTTGCAGCCTCAACATCAGCCTCTTCTGTCTGTTTCTTCTCTCTGCACCCAATTTCCTACCCTTTGCAGAACCCAGGCACCCAGAGCGCCCAAGTCCTCTTGCTGACGATGATGGAGCTGGTGGAGAAGCTGAAGGATGGGTCCCTGCCCCCAGAAAGCGTCCTCTAGTCATACATGGGCAAAGTGAGTGATACCTCCAGCATGGGAGAGATGCTGCAGTGCTCTTCTGCAGTGGGGGTTTTCAAATTTAAACCCAGCTCATTTGCTGAGAGAACCAGCAATGCTGAGGGCAACAATTTGTCAATAATGTGATGTCTAAAGGGTGGTTGATGGGTACATATGCATGACAGAGATCCAGAAAATTGTTGCAGCAAGAAACATCTAAAGTTTATAGGTAAGGGTTTATAGGTAAGGTCTGAATAACAGAGGCTTGAAGAGTTTAAACTTTCAGCTTAAACTCAATTTAAGTACTGTTTCCCTCCCTCCATCCATTCATCTGTCTCACTGATCTTCTCTGTTCTGGAGAGGCTTTGGAGGTGAACTGTGTGACAGACTTCATTCGTGGCTGTGAGGATCAGCTCCAGAAACTGAAGAATCATAAGAAGAGGCTGCTCTATGGCATTCCCATCAGCATCAAGGACCACATTGACTGCAAGGTACATCCCTAATTCCCATGCTTCTTGGCCTAGGGCTGGGAACAGGCCAGGATGTCCCATCCTTATCAGGACTGCCTAAGAGTTCCTTCAGACAAAGAATGTTCTGGACTAAATGTCATGGGACTGGCAAACCTGCCTTTCTTCTGATGGAAGATCTGTTTTACACAGAAATTTCTCACCTGTTCTGATCTGGTTTTCCCTGGGGTAGTCAAGTCCTGTTCTGCTTGTGAGAAAAGTTGAGTGGGAACTTTGCCATGGGAGGCATCAGGGCTTATGTCTGTTATTGTCACAGATCCAAATGGTGCCTTTCCTATACTTAAAGAGCTTTGCTTCCCATCCCAAGTGCCACATCTCCTCTGGAGGGATGGTGAAGTTTCTGAGCCAAGTAAAGGAAGAAGACAGCATCATTGTCCAGGTTCTAAAGTGCCAGGGGGCAATAGCCTTTGTGAGAACCAGCATCCCACAGACGATGATAAAGTAACTGTGTGTTTGCCTTCTTGAAAGCATTATCACATGTGTCTTGCTATCTCAGAAGGTGGACCCACATGCCCAAGCTCCTACCCTTGTCCAAGCTAATCATGCAGGTTGAGTTAATTTCCTCCTTATTCTAATCTCAAATCATTTCTCTTGCATTTGATGTCCCTTTTTTCTTAAACTCAGCTGGCCCAACAAATATTCTTCATGCTGATGCTACCTACTGGTATTGATTCCACACTCATCCCTGCACAGATGCTCTGTGACCTGTATTTATGGTTTGCAGAGACAGAGTTACCTCACTGCTGATGATCTTCTCCCCAGCTATGACTGCAGCAACCTCATCTTTGGCCAGACACTGAACCCTCTCAACCACATGAAGAGCCTGGGTGCTCCCCAGGAGGGGAGGGAGCTGTGATTGCAGAGGAGGCTCCATCCTGGGCATTGGGTTGGATGTAGCTGGCAGCATCCGCCTGCCATCCAGCTTCCGCGGGCTGTGTGGGCACAAACCCACAGGCAACAGGATCAGGTACATCTCAACACTTCCTAAACGGGAAGTTGGCAACTCAGCATGGTGACCTACTTTAGAGCAAGAAGCTAATATGCTTCTCCCATTATGTTCCTAGCAAACTGGGTGTTGTTTCTCCTACCATAGGAATGAATTCAGGTAAGTCCATCCAGATGACATCTTACTACTGTCAAACCTTTGCTTTTTACATCTCCTACTGCTGAAATGCCAACAGATGTGCTCACAGTCAGTCACTCGGTGCTTGCTTCTTGCACATTACGCTGGTTCCCCATTCCTCTTCCCTCACCTGACTGAAACTCTTCCATGCTGGACCCTCACCAGTAACTATGAGGCAGCACCAGCCCATCTTCTTGTAGTGATGGGACCCCTTTGCTTGCAGTGGCAGCAGCACTGGGGCCGATGGCGAGGGATGTGGACAGCCTGGCCCTGTGTATGAAGGCGCTGCTCTGTGAGGAGATGTTCCAGCTGGACCCCACCGTGCCCCCCATCCCCTTTGATGAAGAGGTAAAGCTCAGAGGCAATCCTGTGTCTCCATTTGTCCAGCAAGAGAGGTGAGACCTTGGGAGATTCTGATCTGTTTTCATGTTTAAAGATAGAGAAGGACCTAAGGAAGCAGAGGAACCACAGCATGAGCAACCAAACGCAGGAAGCAGCCACACAGCAGGGTTGGCAGGACCCTGTTGGCTTGTAGTGATGAAACCTGGCAGATACTGACCTCTTTACATCCCCGCAATGTCCAAAACAAGCTTGTTGGCTCCATCCTGGACCAATCCCTAAAGGAGCTGATTTCTACTGGTCAGAGGAATTCACCCTTCGCACCTTTAATTAGAGAGACTAATTGAACAGTCACTGACCTAAGAAATCATTGCAGTTTGCCATTAGTTCTCTGCTTCTACCACCATGTCATGTCTTTCTGGCTCAGGTCCCAGGATCTTTTAGCTGTCCCTGGCACCCAGACAATACAGAGCAGTCACTTACTGTAGAGGAACAGGCCCCTGAACTCTGTCCATGCCAGGCATGTGGTTTGTACGGGTACTGTGCATACCTGCTATCTCGAAGCTGAGACGTGTTCACATGGCAGGAGGTGGTGTCAGAAAGGCCATACCAAGGACCACTGCTGCAGACCGATGATCTGGAAAACACTGCTTTCCACCAGCCCTATTGCTCCCATCATTCCTCCAACCCAGAAGGCCTTAGTTGCTGTTTCCCTAAGCCCTAGGAATGGTCCAACCTCATGTGTCTCATGAGTACGAGTGATGGCTCTTCTTCTTACAGGTTTACACCAGTTCAAAGCCATTTCAGACTGGATACTATGAAGGACATGGCTACTTCCAGCCCTCGCCCAGCATGAAACAGGCCATCCAGGAGACAAGAAAGCTCCTCAAGGATGCAGGGCATATGATGGGTTTTCATGCCTGTGGTTGCCTGGAGCTGTTATCCTGCTCCTCATAGAGTTTGGACAAATCACTTCCCAATTCTGCTTTTGTTGCCCATAAAACAGGTACCATCCCTTCCTGCTGCAAGGATCAAGAAGAGACAAAGGCAGCAGCAAATGCAACAGTTTGCTTCCCAAACCAAAGCAATCTTGCTTATATTCCTTGCCTAGCAGACAGGAGAATCACCTTCAAATATCTCTAAGTCACTCCTTTTCTAAAGCACCAGGTTTTTTTCCATCATATTTAGTATTCCCATAAATATAAAGCACAATAGTTTCCACGATCCCTCAGTTTACAGATGTCTTGGTGGGTAAGTGGGAAAGGGGTTGGAACAGTTGACCCTCCAGGGACATCTTCTAGCCTAAATTATTCTGTGTTTCCACCACTGGGGATTTCTATGTGGAAGCTGTTCCAATGATGCATATTGGTGTTTTGAAGCTTCTAAAAATCCTTCTTTAAGGTTTGGAAGAATGGAGCCTATGGGAGGTCACAATATGTGTTAATGCCTTGAAAAGGGGGAAGGGACAGTGGGCAGATGCTGCTAACCCAGGTCCCTCTGAAAACAGGGTCTTGCTGTCCTACAGCAGCAAGGAGGGCCTAAACTTCCCACCACTTACCCCTTCACCTCACTAGTGAGGCAGGGCTATTGACAGAGGGCTCTGAATCATTGATCTTTGTTGCTTCTTTAATAGGGATGTTTTTGTTGTGGCTTGTTCCCTTTGCACCACCCAAGACTGACTAAAGATTGAGTATATGGTAGACGAGCTCTTCACCAGAGGGATTTTCTCAGATGGTGCTGCTCACCTGGTGGGCTGCTTGTGAGTAAAAACCCCATTTCAGTGTGGCCATGAGACTTGTCACTTGATAGCCAGTGATTGCATCCAGAGTGTTTATATATTACGAGGGAAAATTTAATAATGAGCAGCAGGGGAGCAATTTCTGAAAGGGTGAATTTAGCGTGAGCAGCAGCTAGTTCACAAGAGCAGTTCCCACACATAGGTAATGGGATAGGGTGATAACACATGTCAACAGTGCTGCAGCAACTGGTTTTGTGTGTGGTTAATCCATGGGACATGGGAAAGATCACATATTATAAAACTTCCTGTGGAGGTGCGGTGAGTTGGCCCTGGCCACTCCCTCACTTCATGGTGAAACATGCCCAGGGTTGTATGTGGTCCCACCACTGCAAAGCACTCCAGAGCCTTTATGGCACTGATAGCTTTTGCAGAGATTTATACCTGAGCATCTAAATCCTACATCAACATCCTTTGTTTAGTGTTTTAATCTAAACCAGGCAGGTTTTGTCTTCTAGCAACTCCCCTCAAAGACATACCCTGCTTTGGAAACAGCACTATTGTTGCTATAGCTCTGGCACAGAAGGCTTATTCTGACTTCTTCACTCTCTACCCTTCCAGCAAAGGAGACATTGTGGATCCCACCCTGAAATCCCAGTTCAACACTTACAGGCTTCCTGCTCTGGTGAAAAGGATCTTGGCTATCATTTTGAAACCCACAGTAAGTGTGTGGAGGAGTCTTGTCTGTGTTACAGGAAATCTGTAAGGTGGGGAATTTTCTGCATGCAGACAGATAGACCGCTCCCCTCTGGGAGTGCTTTGCTGCTTCATGTTAAGTGCCAGATGGGCTTCATAGTGAAATACATGTAAATACACTTAGTCCCTAAACCTAAGCTGAACTTATCAAGTGTGTCTGGCAGCCTTCTGTAGGAGTTTTGCATGGGGATGTCAAAATGTGATAGATTTTAGGAACTCATGAGCCACATAGAGAATGGGCTCCAAGAGAATGAATGTCTCTAGCAAGGATCTAAACAACATCCTTGAAGATGCTCTCCAGAGCTAGGAGTGTGGCCTAGAGCCTTATTGGTGTGGGTTGTTGTGATTAAATATATAAATTAAAGTGGGAGTAAAATCCCTTCACTGAAAACCATACCAGTTCTTCAGAGCCACTTCTGCTGGGACAAGAAGTGTGCCCAAAGTGCAGTCCTGTGGTAGCCAGCTATATCAGCTGTACTGTTGTTGACTAATCCCAAGTTTTTCCTCTTCCCTCTGAAAGTACCCAAGAATTGCTCGGGATCTCAGCGCTGTCTGTGGATTGGGGTAAGACATGATGAAGTAGCTCTAGAGAAAGGGGTGCACGTCGGTGTGTCCACTGGTTCATGCAGGTACATTCTTGTGCAGAAAGCTCTGTCGTGGGGCTGTGCGGCACAGGCTGAGCCAGATGAATAAGTGCTGCCTCACCACCACCTGGGCTTAGCACAGTGTTATCTTATGCCACCAGGGATTATTTTAAGAGCTCAAGGATCCTTATGATGGTGGGGTTATGGAGATCAGGACAGAGAGGTACAGGCTACTTTCCCCATCAGGTGGATTCTGGTACTCAGAGCTTCACATGCCAAGTTAAACAGAGGTCCCTGCATGCAGGTGCAGTGTGGTGTGAAGTATCTGCCCCTCCAAGAGAAACAAAGATACACCAAAATGGGAGGTTTTCACTTCCAAAGTGATTTTGGAAGACTGCCATGATCTTTGTCTAGGTTCCAAAGGCCCAAGACATGGTGGCATGCTTTCAACATAAGCTCTTTTGCTGTACCTGTAAGCATGTATGAACCCAGTGGAATCAGCTGGGTGACACTTTAGCTTGTTCCCAGAAGGCTCACACTGTTTCCGTAACAATGGGCTGACCGCATTTTGTTAATTGTGTTCTGTTGCCACAGTCCCAAAGCTGATTAATTCTGTCACCTTTCCAGGTCTGCCAAAAACCTCTGGGATCAGCATGGAGCAGTAGAGGTAAAGTGAATTTGGTATTTTTTCCTTACTAAATATAGTGAGAAATCCCTAAAGTTTCTAAGCAATTGCTTTGAGCTTTGTGATGGATTCTGGGTTGGAAATGGATCAGGTGAAAACAAAGCAGCTAGGCTCTTAGAAAGTCAAGCTGTGTAAGAAGTGCTAAGAGCTCAAGGAAATAGATATTCATGTGGAGGTCTCTACTTAGTGGAGGATGGGGAAGAAAGATTATCCTTTGCCCTGTGTTTTCTAAGCAGAAAGAGTATAAGTACAGCCACTAAAGATGAGTCTTCTTTTTTTTTTTCTGTCTCTTGGTGCAAATCCTTCATTTCAGACATTAGATGCTATTGTCATGAGCTAAGATCGTGCTTAAGCTATCCAGCAGAGAACTTGGGAGTCAAAAAGCTGTGGTTGTGAACTCTTTGACTTAGGTGGATTCTGTATGAACACATTTGGGATCAGGAGCATAGGACAGGAAGTGTTCTCCTGGACGAATGAGTCCAGTGCTGCCCACAAACTGCTCAGGTTCCTCTTTAAAACCAGTTGAGGTTTCTGCTTGTTTATGCTTGCTTTTTTATTTTTTATTGGCTGGCTCATCTCCTCACTGCTCTGATGGTTGGAAACCTTCATATTCCCTGTGCTGTTTATTCACTTCCAGTGTATCCTCATTTTATTCCTGTCCTTGAGTTTAAATACAACTTCTCTCTGGTATTTTCCACTGCCTCCCTTGTCCTTTATCTATTTATAGAGAGCAGTTGTATCCCCTTTCAGCTGGTGTCTTGCAAGGCTGAAGAAGCTGTTTTGGTTCCCTCCCACAAGGCAGGATCTGTGTTCCCTGGGGCATCCTTGCAACCCTCCTTGAGAAGAAGCATACCCCCAGCCTGCACCTCGCAGCCTCCATCAGTGCCAGTCACTCGATGGACACGCTGCTCAGTTGAAGCAGGTCTGACATTATAGGGCAGAGTTAAAACGCTTAAAGACCTGCTTGGTCACTGTGCAGATGTGAGTGTTTGGGAGGAAATGGGTTTGGGGGTTGTTTCTTAGGTGAAAACAGATTCCTCTCCCCCACCCAAACCACACACACACACAAAACCCAACCACAAAAACAAACAAGCAAACAAAAAAACCCCAAACCTAACCAACAAGAAAACTCTTTAAAAGGTTTGTTGGCCTCGGAGATACTTTAAATTGTTTTCTTCCATGAAACCATATTCACATTTTTTCATCTGCAAGTAAGGGCTGATTCAAAACTTCTGGCTAGAGAACAGCTTTTCTCTCAGAAAAAAAACATCAGTTCAGCTACATCAAGTGCATTTCCTGGAAACCTGTCTCCTTTGTTCCACTGTCAGCAGG